TCTACCTCACAGGGGAGACCCTCCCTCCCTCCCTTCCTTCCTGTGCAGCTATGGTATCAGCCGATGGGGGTCATGTATGTACATGTGTGTTCTCACTGAGCAATCACAACAAACTCTGCGACTGGCGTGTGTGTGTGTGTGTGTGTGTGTGTGTGTGTGTGTGCATAAATGCACAATTTTTATATATACATTTTATATATTTTGAAAGCAAGTTTCTTATACAAATAAGATGATAGACAGACAGACAGATTAGATAGATAGATAGATGCATAAATGAGCGAGTGTATTTGAAGTACTAAAAATCACAAGGCAAAATAGATTACATTTAGAAGAAAAACATGAAACTGTTTTAAAAACTCAAGCATGAAGTCAACAGATGTTGCAGTTTGCAAGCCATTTTGCCTCCATAATAGTGAAATGGGCTTTTACTTGAGTAAAAATGTTTGCCGTGTACTGCATAAGTGACGCTAGTGAACTCGCTTCAGAGGAAAACCAAGTTATCATGTTACCTTTGTGATAACATGCACAGATAAAACATTCATGTTAAAGGAATAGTTCACCCAAAAATGAAACTTTGCTGAAAATGTACTCCCCCTGAGGCCACACAAAGATGTAAAAGAGATTTGGAGAAATGTAGCTTTACATCAGTTGCTCATCAATGGATCCTCTGCAGTGAATGGGTGCCGTCAGAATGAGAGTCCAAACAGCTGATAAAACCATCACAATAATCCACAAGTAATCCACACCATTACATTTCTCCAAATCTGTTCAGATGAAGAACCAAACTCAATTACATCTTGGATAGCCTGAGGGTGAGTAAAATTTAAGGAATTTGTTTTGGGGTGAACTAGTCCTTTAAGATCAGGAACATGCATTAGGAAAGTAAATATGATCCATTTTGATTTCATGTTGACTTTAAACTAGATTCAGACATAATGACAAAGAAAACTGCTCGCAATCAAGGCCCACCGGGTCTGGAGCAGATTTATTATGGCTGGTATAGTCATGCTCACCACATCCTATCAATAACATTATTATGGGATACAGAGGAAATTTGAATCAGTTTTTGTGTGTGTGTGGGTGTTTTTATGATCAGGTGCTGTTAGCCAGAGTTTGAGATTAGACTGCAACAATTGAAGACTAAGAGGTACATTAACTTCAGCCAGAGAGGACTAACTAACTGATTTAAACGTATTGCCATTGTTTAGATACATTGTAAAGCTGTTTTTGCTTTATCACAGACTGTTCCACAGCTCACAGTGATAATTTAAGGCATTAATATATGGTGAAATATTATAAATGTTAGTGTAATGTTATATAGAACACATAGGTAGATGAAGTTGATTCTTTTTGAGGCCGTTTTGATTTGATCACTCCTCCCTCATGCATCTCATCCAGCTTGAAAGCGATCAGCTTGTGGAGGACATGGTGCTGTATTCAACGCTGTCGGAATTACTGTAATGATAAAGCTTATTTTCACCACGGAATAAAAAATAAAAAAGGTAATTTTTATCTCATCAATTCTGGCTTTTTTTTCTCAGAAATGTGAGTGAAACCGTTGCAGATACTTTAATTTTGTTATTCCGTGGAAGAAATAAGCTTTCATAATGATGAGATTCTGTCTACAGAAAAGTTGTTCAAGTGTGTCATACTCTGAATTACAAATAGGAAACGTTGAGTTTCATAAAAGCCTTATTTACGTCATGTAAAAAGACCAAAAATGACAGTGGCCTTAAAAGTGATTTTCTTTGTTCTCAGATATGTTTTGAGAGTATATAGTGGTCAATAATTCTAGTGGTTTTGACGGTCATTGAAGCATTTTGTTATCATCAGCAACAGCCGCACATGATCATCAACGCGGCCGTCTTAGTATGTTGTTCTGTTTCTTCCTGGACAACTGATAGACCTTAGTCAGGGTATGTCATTTTTGCCAGGAACGAAAACGAGGCTCTGGGGGATAGAAATAATGGATTTGGTGTGATAAATGTGAAGTTTATGAACATGCCAATTGTTTAGCTGACAGAATATTTACCAAAAACTTTCAGCAGGCAAAAACTCCTTAAAACATGTGCTAAACTCTGGCCATGACCAGTAGGATCTCCCTCTTGGCATTACTGTAATTCTGATATAATGGCAAAATTCAGCCATTGATTGATAGGAAGATTTGATCGAAAAACTGTTTATCACTTGCACTGTTTTCAGTGATTAATATTCTGTTTGTCAATAACGGTTGTTGGGTATTGTAGAATATTTACTAAAATGGTTTAGGTAATGGTTTAGCCTATTAGCCTTTCTGAAGCTGACCATTTAAGCTTCTACAAAAACCCCATCAGAGTTTTGTGGCCATGCTAATGTACTCCTAAATAAGGTGTTGTGCCCTTATGCAGTGCGCATGTTCCGTACTAAATTTTTGTGTCACAGGGTCCAGTAAAAAAATCACATTGCTTGCTTTTTTTTTTTTTCATTCAGCTAATGAATGTAGATGAACTAAAGCCTTAGATAGATCTGATCATTTAAAGCTGCTGGCGGAGATCTGAAAGCTACAATCATCCATTGAACAGTGAAAAACTGAACAAAAGTGCACTTGAACAGAGTAAGAATTGTTTACCCAGAATGCCATGCTGGGGAGGTTTGCTGTTTAATGTCTCAATGTCGCTGAAAGCTCCAGTGAAGTGACTGCCAGCAATAATTTCAGACCCTTTTCATTCTGTCGACCTTAAATTCTGATGAGCTTTGGAAATCCGAGAAAATATTTTCAGTAACACAGAAGGGTTTATAGAGCATTACGGCAGCATTTCATCTCGTTGACGTCTCATTTTATCCTGATCTGGAGGGAATCTCATGAAACCTGCCAGAGTCATATTTTACCTCAAAAGAAAGAAATAATGAATTGATAAAATTTTTTTTACGTTAAAAAAAATCTTAAAGAAAATAAAGCCTATTTTACCATTATTTTCTTTGTCATTAAGCACTTCCCCTCATTCTCATTACTGTAATATGAGAAAAATGTAAATTTAAATAATAATAATAATAAATAATATAAAAATTAAAATATTTAATTTCTAAAGTGTTTATACTTCATGGTAGTGTTGCTGATTTAAATAAAATAATTTTATTGCAGTATTTTTATATTTTGCAGTAAAAAATTCATTACAGTAATGTGAATACATGAGAATAAATGACTATTATTATTATTGAATCAGAGTAGTGACCATTTAGAGTGAAAATGTTTATTTTTATGTATTTATCTATAGGGTAAAATATGACACGTGCATGTTTCTGTGAGATTCATTTCATTCTGTAGATTTAAAGCTTTGAACAGTCTTAAGTTTCTGTATCTCCATAACATGAGCAGACACGTGTGTGTGTGTGTGTGTGTGTGTGTGTGTGTGCGCTCTCAGGCAGAGGTTTCAGAAAAGAGATGGGAGTGCTGCCTCACATTATGACTTGAACCGGCACTCATCCTCCACTTGAGCTCTCTAAAGACAAGATGATGCCTCTCTGACCATACTGAATGTGTAAAAGATTCAAAGCGAGCTTATGGATTTTTTTTCTATCCTGTGTGTTGACAAATCAAGCGGCGTGTCACACATGTCCCGTGGTTTCATTAGAGGGCGTAAACTAGCTGTATGTTTTGGTATAGACCTTTATACCAAAGACTGGCTGTGATTGAAGGCATTAGACGTGCGACGGCGTGACGCATGAATGTGTGAGTGTGTGTGTGCATCGTATTTAATCAAGTGCACAGAAAAACAGTCTGAGAGAAAGAAACCAAATGACAGACATCGATAGCACAGACTCAGATCCCAAACCTCATACAGATTTATACAGTGTATTTTTGTACATTTCTACCCACAATTCTTCTCAGGATGAACTTCTCTCAGGGAACGAACCAAATAAGCGTATTTGATGTTATTCTGTAGGGAAGCGTTGACCATTAACTGAATTTATTGACTGTTGCTTATCAAACTCACCAACTCTTGTTCTCGTACGTTAGAACTACCTCCTTCAGTTTCACATAGTCATGCTTTTCCGTTCGAGTCTGGTGTTTTTAACAGAGCATTAGTTTGTTTTATTAGTCTGAGAAAGTAATAATTTGCTTTGTGTTTACACAGAAGTCTACCTCATTTTCAATCTCCAGTTCAACTCACTCTGGGATCAGTTTTATCTTAACACTTCTGCTGAAAATAGGACACCTCGTGTTATTGTTTATGTTGCTCAATAGAAATCATCTGCTCATTTCTCTTTCTTTTTTAGAGTAACTCAACTAGTTTTTGAATGTGTAACGGTTCAGCATAAATCTAACACGGACTCGCTCAGCGTAACCCGCTCCAAATCTTCTCCATGACAGCTCAGTGCAAAGATTGTTTAGAATTTTGTGCCTTTATTTTTATTGTTATGGCTAGACTTTTAATTGTGAGGAAGTATGTTATTATTTTGGGGCATCAGTTGCTATAATCTGTGACCCTGGACCACAAAACCATAAGGGTCAATTTTATCATCTGAAAGCTGAATAAATAAGCTTTCCATTGATGTATGATATTTGGCCGAGATACAACTATTTGAAAATCTGGAATCTGAGGGTGCAAAAAAATCTAAAATCTAAGAAAATCACCTTTAAAGTTGTCCAAATGAAGTTCTTAGCAATGCATATTACTAATCAAAAATTAAGTATTAATATATTTACAGTAGGAAATTTACAAAATATCCTGATTTAATGCTGTTTGGTTTGCAGTCGCAAATGCATCAAGAACGATATGCT